CAGGGGCGGACTGACCGGTCGGGCACTTCGGACACGGTCCTAAGGCCCGGCCGGGAGGGGGGCCCGCCGCCAGGGCCGCCTTCAGGGGGCCCGGCGGCAGGGCTGGGTTGGGGACTTCAGCAGAAGGTGCCACCGGGTGGCCGGCCCGGTGGCACACTGTGAGGGGGCCGGCCGTTTCATGTTAGAGCCGCCGGACCGGGTGGCAGCCTCGCCGGTCCGGCGGCATTCCTCTCACTAACACAGAAGAAGGAGAAGGAGGAGGAGGAGGAGGAGCATCTGTCCATCATGCTCCTTTGCGGTTCCCACATCCTGTGTTGGGAATTGTGGGAACCGCAGGGAGCATGATAGACACATGCTCCTCCTCCTCCTCCTCCTCCTTCTTCTGTGTTAGTGAGAGGAATGCCGCCGGACCGGCGAGGCTGCCATCCGGTCCGGCGGCTCTAACATGAAACGGCCGGCCCCCTCAGACTTGAGTAAGAGGGGGGAAGAGGGAGCAATAGAGAGATGGGGGCGGGGAGAGAGGGGCAAGAGAGATATGGGGGAAGAGGGGCAATAGAGAGGGGGAAGAGAGATATGGGGGAAGAGGGGCAAGAGAGAGATGGGGGGGAAGAGGGGCAAGAGAGAGATGGGGAGAGGGGCAAAAGAGATATGGGGAGAGGGGCAAGAGAGATATGGGGGGAAGAGGGGGCAAGAGATATGGGGGGAAGAGGGGGCAAGAAAATATGGGGAAGAGGGGCAAAAATATGGGGGAAGAGGGGGCAATAGGAGAGATGGGAGGGGGGAGAAAGAGGGGCAACAGAGATGGGGAGGGGGGGAAGAGGGGAACAGAGAGATGGGGAGGGGGGAGAAAGAGGGGGGAACAGAGAGATAGGGAGGGGGGAGAAAGAAGGGGGAACAGAGAGATGGGAGGGGGGAGAAAGAGGGGGGAATAGAGAGATGGGGAGGGGGGAGACAGAGACAGATAGGGAAGAATGAGACACGGGGAGAAAGAGGGGAATAGATAGATAGGTGGGGGGTGAAAGAGACAGAGGGGGAGAAAGAGGGGGAATAGGGAGATGGGGAGGGGGAGAAAGAGACAGAGGGGGAAGAATGAGACACAGGGGGAGAAAGAGGGGGAATATAGAGATGGGGAGGGGGAGAAAGAGACAGAGAGGGAAGAATGAGACACGGGGAGAAAGAAGGGGGAATAGAGAGATAGGGAGGGGGAAAAGAGACAGAGAGGAAGAGAGATGTGGGGGAGAGAGAGACAGGGAAAGGGAGGAGAAAAACAGTGGAAGAGAGGGAGAAAGAGGCAGAGGGGTAAGAGAGACTGGGAAGGAGGGGGGAGGAAGAAACATACAGAGGGATGGGGGGAGACAAAAAGGCACACAGAAGGGCTGTAGATATCACTGGTGGATCCAGGGGGGCAACAGGGCAATTGCCCCTCCCCTGTCCGCAGGCACCATGCGGGCAGGGGAGGGAGGAAGAGAGGACCTGGGAGCTCACCCTGCAGCTCCTCTGGGTCCTTCTTGCACGAGCACAGAGCGTTGCCGCGATTACCATGGCAACGTTATCGCTCTTGCGAGAGTCAACTCTAGCCCTGGAGCTACGGTCTAGTGTTCACTCTCAACACTGTGACCCCCAGGGATTCCTGGTGGTCGCAGTGGTGAGAGTGAACTCTAGCCCCATAAACACACTGCCCCCACACACACACCATACACATTCACACACTGCCCCCATACACACCATACACATTTACACACATTGCCTCACACACACACATACACTGCCCACCCATATACACACAGACCCCCATACACAGCCCCCCATACTAACATTGCCACACACATACACAACCCACACACCCTACACATTCACACACTACACCCCCACACACACACTGAACCTTTCACACACATTGCACCACTGCTCCTATTCCCTACTACAGCCCCATATCCCAGCAGATCCCAGGTAAGTTGTCAAACTGTTCTTAAATGGTTTGACTACTTACTCTGGAGCAGTAGTGGTAATTGTGCATAGATTATTTCTTTAAATAATTTACAAGTGCCCCAGTAGCCAGCCAGCCAACCTACAGGCTGGCCAGTAGCCAGCCAGTTAGCCAGCCCACAGGCCAGTAGCCAGGCCACAGGCCTACAGCAAGCCACAGGCTTACATCCAGCAAGCCCACAGCCTGCCAGTCGCAGCCAGCAAGCCACAGCCTGCCAGCCGCAGTCAGCAAGCCCACAGCCTGCCGGCAGTAGCCAGCAAGCCCACAGCCTGCCAGCCGCAGCAAGCAAGCCCACAGACTGCCAGCCAGCAACAGTAATTAAGGTAAGAGGAGCCAACTTGGCCTAGGTATCAGCGAGCTATGTTGTGTTGCTATATTGTGAATAGAAACCAGAGTGTTGGAGAGACCACCCTCCAGGCCCCATTAGACTCCATTGTAGTCTCTAATGGGGCCTGGAGGGGATTCTTTCTAACACACTCTCTAAAGGACACTGAGATAGCCTCCGCTAGAAAGACCCCCCTCCATGGCCCATTAGCCCTCAATTGTAGTCTCTGCTGGGGCCTCGAAGGGCTTATTGCCCTTTTGTTCCTTGTGTCTAAAGATTGTGTAGGGTGTGGCTGGAGGCGGTGCATGGAGGCGGGACAAGGGTGGCGCTTGCTGCAGAGTATGGGTGGGGCCTGTAAGGGGGCCCTTGATTTATTTTGCCCGGGGGCCCTGAGGGTTCTCAGTCCGCCCCTGATCCTATGTATCACAGTGTCTCACTGCCCCATGTCTCCCTGTGTCCCCATGTATCCCAGGGTCCCCATGTCACTAGGAAGACGGGAAAACCTGGGGACACAGGGAGACCTAGGGACACTGAGACACCAGTGACACTGGGAGACTAAGGGACTCTGGCTGGGACGCATGGGGACACTGGAAGACATGGGGACATAGACACCAAGGACACAGACACTAGAGACACTGACTGGGAGACATGGTGACATTGAGACATGGGGGCACTGGGAGACATGGAGGCACTAGGAGACATGGGGACAGTGAGACACTGGCAGACTGGGGGCACTGAGACACCAGGGACACTGGCTGGGAGACATGGGGACACTGTGTCCCCATGTGTCTGTGTCATAATGTCTCCCAATGTCCCTTAGTGTCTCAGTGTCTGCCATAATGTCTCCCAGTGTCCCTTAGTGTCTGAGTGTCTGCCATAACGTCTCCCAGTGTCCCTTAGTGTCTCAGTGTCTGCCATAATGTCTCCCAATGTCCCTTAGTGTCTCAGTGTCTGCCATAACGTCTCCCAGTGTCCCTTAGTGTCTCAGTGTCTGCCATAACGTCTCCCAGTGTCCCTTAGTGTCTCAGTGTCTGCCATAATGTCTCCCAATGTCCCTTGGTGTCTCAGTGTCTGCCATAACGTCTCCCAATGTCCCTTAGTGTCCCAGTGTCTGCCATAATGTCTCCCAGTGCCCCTTAGTGTCTCAGTGTATGTCTCCTTGCAGCCTTTCCCCATCCCTTACTTCCCTGAGCTGTAGGCTGTCTCTGCAGGGTGGGAGTTGCTGTCTGGATTCTCTGTAGCTGCACCCCTGCAGATCAGTGAGTAGAGAGAGGTAGGGAGGGATATGCTGGAACTTCCTATCCCTGCCTCTCTCCATACACAGTGACCCCTACTGGCCAGTGCTGGTATTGCAGAGTAATCTCTTGTTTATACTGAGAAAAATACCAGCATTTGCATTGCCAGTATCACTGCAATATTGGCACCAGCCAGGCAGCCTCAAATACTGGCTGTGCCAATAAAATAAAAGCCAGGTGGAATCCCTAAGAGTAGTGTGTGGGAAAAATAAAATGTAAAAAAAAACAATTTTTTTTTTTATACATCAATGGGCCTATTCCATGGGCCTGGGCCTGGGCCTGGGCCTGGAGCTGCAGCTCCATCAGCCCCTATGTTAATCCGGCCCTGATAGTGTCCCTTTTAGTTCTTATATATATTCACAACAGGCAAATCACATTTGTTTTCTGAATGAAGTAGTAGAGACAATAATGTAGTATTGCAGAAACAAATTGTTGAAATGCTTCAATATTTCTTAAAAACATTTTATTGGGCAAACAGTATTTTATGCTTCGGAGGTGCTTCTTTTTTCCAATATCCTAACTGACATCAGATACTCATTTCATGTTAGAGTCGATATACAGGTGTTAACAAGGCAAAACACATACTCTGCAGAGTCATAAATCTAGAGAGCTGGTATAAGCAGGGCCGTCTTTAATGCGGGGCAAACGGGGCAGCTGCCCCGGGCCCAGTTTCTCTTGGGGGGCCCGAGGCACCTGCCCCGTGGGCCCTGCTGACCCCGGCGGGCGGGTGGCCGGTCGGGCAGGAAGGCAGGCGCGCGAGGGAGCATTCACTGCTTCCTCTTCAGCTCCCTCGCGCACCGCACTGATGCCGGAGCCGGAAGATGACGTCATCTTCCGGCGCCGGCATCCCTACGCGGCGCGCGAGGGAGCTGAAGAGGAAGCAGTGAGTGCTCCCTCGCGCGCCCGCCTTCCTGCCCGACCGGCCGGCCACCCAGACTTCCCGCCCAGGAGCCCAGCAGCACCACTGGACCCCAGGGAATCCCCCCAAGCACTCCAAAAGGTAAGGAGGCTGGGGGGGTTAAATTTAAAAAAAAAAAATGTGTGTTTGTGTGTATGTGTGTGTTAGTGTATGTGTTTGTGTATGTGTGTGTTAGTGTGTGTGTGTTTGTGTGTTAGTGTATGTGTTTGTGTTTGTTTGTGTGTGTGTATGTGTGTGTTAGTGTTTGTGTGTTAGTGTGTGTGTTAGTGTGTGTGTGTTTGTGTGTTAGTGTATGTGTGTTAGTGTGTGTGTTTGTGTATGTGTGTTAGTGTATGTGTGTTAGTGTGTGTGTTTGTGTGTTAGTGTATGTGTGTGTTAGTGTATCTGTGTGTTAGTGTATCTGTGTGTTAGTGTATGTGTGTGTGTGTCAGCATGTCTGTGTGTGTGTCAGTATGTCTGTGTGTGTGTGTCAGTATATATGTGTGTGTATATCTGTGTGTGTCAGTATGTGTATGTGTCAGTATGTCTGTCAGTGCGTCAGTATGTCTGTTAGTGCATGTGTATGCATGTGTCAGTATATCTGTCTGTGTGCCAGTATGTCTGTGTGTGTGTGTGTGTGTCAGTATATCAGTCTGTGTGTGTGTCAGTGTATGTGCCTGTGTGTGTGTGTCAGTATTTCTCAGTGTATGTGGGTGTCAGTATATCTGTCAGTGTGTGGGTGTCAGTATTTCTGTCAGTGTGTGGGTGTCAGTGTCAGTGTATGTGTGTCAGTATGTTGATCAGTGTATGTGTCTGTGTGTGTCAGTATGTCGGTATATGTGTCTGTGTGTCAGTATGTCTGTATATGTGCCTGTGTCAGTATGTCTGTCAGTACGTCTACCAGTGTATGTGTCTGTGTGTGTGTCAATATATGTACCTGTGTCAGTGTGTCTGTCAGTGTATGTGCCTGTTTATCTGTATGTAGTCAGTGTATGTATCTGTGTATCTGCTTGTGCGTCAGAGTGTGTACCTGTGCATCTGAGCCGCAACTTTAAATACAAATACACCCCTCCATTCAAACTTCAACACTACATATAAAACACACTCCTGCATTGAAACGTCAACACTACATACAAGCACACTCCTACATTCAAAAACAAACACTACACATAAATGCACACTTGCATTCAAACTCCAGTACCACATACAAACACATTCACACAAACATACTCCATACAAACACATGCTTACATTCAAACATACTAACATGGCTCAGTGCTAAATACAACCCTGCAAGCATGGGAAATTGGTAGAGTCCCAGCTGTCAAAGCATTGTTGGAGTTGCATGACAGATGGGGTTCTACCTTTAGTCCAACCTTGCAATTGGGGGTCCCAATAAAATTCATTCTACTTTAGTACCGCCACTGCGTTGGGATGGATGCCGTGATTGCATACCAGGGAGTGAGGGGCGAGAGCGGCAGGGCACAGGGGGCCCAAGCAAACACTTGCCCAGGGTCCATTCGTTATTAAAGACGGCCCTGGGTATAAGGGAGAGGTCAAGTATGCACACTTACAAACACACCCAATTTCTAAGTATGCACATGGCTGACAATCATGGGAATTTCAGTCCACTCCACCGCATCTTTGAAGGGACATTATAGGCACCCAGTCACTTCATCTCATTGTGGTCTGGGTGCAGTGTTCCTGTCCCCTTAACCCTGTAATCTAAAACATCAGCCAGCGGGGGAGACCTAGTGCACATTTGACTTCCCCGTAAGAAAGCATTATTTAATGCTTACCTATGGGGAAAATCTGACGCTGGAGGTCCTCATGCAGAGCGTGAGGACGTCCAGCGTCAGATAACGGAGCAAAGGTCCGTTTGGATTCCGGAAACGCCCTCAGTGGCTGTCTGGTAGACAGCCACTGAGGGCAGACTTAGAGCTGCAATGTAAACATTGCAGTTTCTCTGGGACTGCAATGTTTTACATTGCAACACAAAGGGCAAGAGGGACACTGCTCCCAGACAACTTCACTATAGTCACCAAAGCAAATTTAGCTTAATGAAGTAGTTGTAGTGTATAGATCATGCCCCTGCAATCTGACTGCTCAATTCTCTGCCATTTAGGAGTTAAATCATTTTATTTATGCAGCCCTCGGCACACCTTCGTGCATGTGACTTGCACAGTCTTCCTTAACACTTCCTGTAAAAAGTCATCTAATGTTTACACTTCCTTTATTGCAAATTCTGTTTAATTTGGAATGTCTTATCTCTTGCTCGCTTAATAGCTTTTTAGACTTTGCAGGAGCCTCCTGTATGTGATTAAAGGTCAATTTACAGAGCAGGTGATAAAAACTTTTAAAGTAAGTTACGTCTGGTGGAAAATTAAACAATTTTTTCATGCAGGCTGTGTCTGGCACAGCCAAGGGAGATATAGCTAGAGCTGCTTAAACAGAAATAAAAGAGATTTAACTCCTAATTGGCAGAGATTTGAGCATTGAAACTTCAGAGGAATGATCTTATACACATAAACTGCTTCCATAAGCTAAAGTTGTTTTGGTGACTATAGTGTCCCTTTAACTATGCGTCAATTCCAGATGAAATAATAGCTTGAATGGCATTGTCAGTAGTTGTGTACTGAAACCAGAACTCTTCAGATGGAATTAAAGGCTAGGCATAGTAGTAGAATGAGGGGCAGATAGATCAATAATTCAAGGAGCACTATAGGGTCAAGAACACAAACATCTTTAAACCACCATCTAGTCCCCCTGTCCTCCTCATGCCTCCCTAAATATAGTAAAATCTTACTTGTATTCAAGACTGAAGCTGCAGGCTTTGTCCCTGTTTCCTTTTGACCTGCCCATTGACTGCTGACATCAGCAGAAGTGGTAGCCTGATCCAATCACAATGCTTCCCCATAGGATTGGCTGAGACTGACAAAGAGGCAGATCAGGTGGAGACACTGAATGTTTGGATGCATTTTAGGCAGCCATGATCCAGGAAGGATGTCTAACAGCCATCTAATGAGTGGCCAGTGAAGTTATCACTATGCTGTAATGTAAACACTGCATGTTCTCTGAAAAGACAGGGTTTACATTTAAAAACATGAAGGTAATGAATTTGTAGTTGTAGTTGTTCTGGTGACTATAGTGTCCCTTTAAACATTTTTATTGGAACTACTAGCAATTCCTATTGTTTTAGTACGCATGCCATAAAAGGGGGAGGGAGTCAACTGTAACAGGATTCTTCCGTAGCTGAGCTCCCTGTACCCTGGTTGGGTACCTCCGCCAAGGATCGCTTCCTAGATGGAACAGGGGGAAAACCTCAGCACTTCTGCCCCAGTCGCCATGGCTTGACTGGGGTCCTCCTGGAGCCTCTCCATCCTGGAACAGAATATGGGACTAGCTCTATTACCTCCCAGAAACTGTATGACACACAGTCCTGGAGGCTGTAGTCCTTACAAGGACTTTCCCCGCTGAATCCTCCACGAGCTGGAATAAGGTGCTGTGCAGTGATCATCCCTTTCCCCTCCCAGTAACTAGACAACACATAGTTCTGGGAGTACAACTGATTTTAATGAGCCAAACTCTGCCTTTTTATGCACAGGCCCCAGCAGGGGGTCTCCATTGTATTCAGCACAAGCCCCTCCCAAGAATCTCTGGGCCTGGGAGATAATTGCGTTAAAGGCAGTAAGCTAATTATCTCTCAGGAACAGAGAGCCAAACATAAAAATATAAAAACAGAAAAAGAGTAAAAACAGGGGGAAGAGTCAGTGCACCTAGGGCTAATAACAATAGTCTATAACAATAAGAGCCAGACCAAATAGTATAAATGGAGATACTGTTTGTGAGATGGGGAATGTTTGTAATTTCCCCTTTGTCTCTCCACATATACGGATATTTTAACCATCCGGACGGATCAACTCCTGAGGATTGTACCCCTAAATTATCCTAATATATTAGTGAGACTTTTATATGAATATTTTATTATCTGGATGGATCAACTCTTGAGGATTACCCTCCTATTTTATTCTGTTGTCTTATTGAGACTTTTTATCCTTCACTGTTTTATTATCTGCACAGGCCTACTTGTTTGCTGTATCTCCGTTTGGTCTGGCTCTTATTGTTATAGACTATTGTTATTGTTATTAGCCCTAGGCGCAGCCCTCACCTCCTTTACATCAAAATCAGATAAATAACCGATGACATAATAAAAACATAACATATCCCCACAAACAATACATATTTAAATAGCCCTGATCTGAGCACACAAGTACTCCAAATATCGCTCAGATCCATGCAGTGTAGGGGAAACACCATTGTGTTAAAGTTCTGACCGGCTGCACACGTGGTCCTATGCCCATAGTTGCACCGCGTTTGGTGCTTTCTTTCGGGAACTCCTGCGGTCGCAGGATGGGGAGCTCTGCTTGGCTCTTAGGCAGCATTTGTTCCCCTTAGTCTCAGACACCTTCCTCCAAAAAGAGCTGTACTGGCAGATTTATTCATTTTTTTAAAATTCTTTATTTGTAAAGTGGCTGCATAGCCGTGAAATAACAGTTGTCGAGTATGCCACATTTTATAAAATGAGTTTCGTCAAATATTGAGTAATGCAATTCAATTCAAAGTGTGATATAGGTGAAGATAGAAATATCTACATGTGGTAAGGACGGGTAGTGTATCCTGAGGTCGGAGGTGTCCCCTTTGTCTATGGTCCGCTCTCTATGTCCTTATGCATATTCTACGTTTACGTGTTTGCCTGCTTAGGTGGTGAGCTAAGTCTCATGTCTGGGCCTTTCTCCAACCTGTCCGGCTATGACCTCTGTCCTTATTGTTTGTCCCCTCTCCCTGTGGTGATCGTCCCCTCTTGTGTTCCCTGTCCGTCTTGTGTTCCCTTCCTGTCTGGGTCGCTTGTGGGTGGTTGTTCAGATTGTGAGCCAGGGACTTGCCGGTGGGGTAGTGTGGGGGTATGGTAGGGCCCTATGCTTGATTTAACCGGAGAGGTATTCCCTCTGAGTCTAATTCTGCCCCTCTGGGATAGTCCGCTTGCGTGTAGTGTAGAAGGTTATGCCAAACTAGTAAAGGAAAGAAAAAGCAACAACTGCAAATAAATCAAATAAATCAAACAAGAAGGGTAGGTGAGCGGGCTACAGTCTTTTGCGCTATCAGGTCTGTGGGGGGTTCTGTGAGCGCTGCCTTCCCTTTTTCTTCTCTGTTCCGGCACTGCTGTCCTCTCCCGGTCCTCTTTCCCGCCAGCCCTGTCCATGGGCGCTTGCTGTTGCAGCTGTAGGGCTTGAAGGAATCATGCGGACTCTTAGTCTGCGGACAGTGTTAGGTTTGAGTCTTTTTGTGGGACCACCAGCGTGCCCATTGCTCCCCAGCAGTATTTAATACCCTTGTCTCTCAGTTGGTGGGTGATCGGCATAAACTTCCTCCGTTCCAGCAGAGTTGTGAATGGGAAGTCGGTTTTTCTGGAGTGGGCCATCAGCGCCTCTTTAACCGCAACATCTCAGGTGACGGCTATGATGTCTCTAGGTGCGTACGCTGGGGCAGTCAGGGCTTTCCGGATCCTGAACGCTATCGCCCAATTGTCTCCTTCTTTTTTCGCCCCCATTGTCAGTGCCACTTTATTTGCGTGTGCCACTAAGGCCTCTGGGCCTGTGTCTTCTGGGGCTCCGCGTATGCGGCATTTCTCTTTCGGTGGCGTGTTTCCATCGCTGTGACTG